AAATGGGGTTTTGAGCCCCTACATGGAAAAAAGAAAACCAGGAAAAAAAGCAAGCAAATAGCAGAGGGATAAAAAAAAAAAATCCCCTAAAAATCCAAGCTCAGCAAACATGTGGCTGCTACCAGCCCAGCCCAGCGGTTTGGGACGGGAACGGGCTCCGGAGGAGGAGGAGGGGACGGCAGCTCTTCCCCTCCGAGGAGCAGGTCTGGGGCTGCCAGCCCAGCGCATTCCTGCGCCGTGAGTCAGGCCTCCGAAAAACCAGGAGGCTTCAAAAATAATACTCTGTGCAGCCTTTGGGATGCTTGCTTGCCTTCTGAATCCCCAGCCTCCCCCGTTTTAGCACTTTGCTCCCCAATGGGACCAAAACTGATTTATCCCAAAACCCAGCTGGGGCCCTCAAGAACAACATCACTCTCTGTGCAGGGAGCCCCAGTGTGAAGCTAAAAGGAAACCCACACTCCAGAGCTGCCTCGACAGTAAAAATCCAAGCGTCAGCCAAGCCTGCAGGGCTGCAGGGACAGGGAGAGGGAGGATTTAGGGAGTGTTAGGGAGGGTGCTGCATCCAGCGAGGGGCCTCCAGGCTCCCACCAAGAGAGGTCCCTGGGAGGGTGGGTGTGAAGCCAGAGCAGCTCTATGGGGCTTTCTGCCTCTCCCAAGCCAAAGCTCTGCAATTCCCAGCCCTAGTGCAGGTCATACAGGATTTTTTCCAATGCTCCAGCCTAACACATCACTCAAAAGCTACTGGTTCACCAATCCTGGGACACCATGAAGGCTCTGGTTTGCTTGGGTGTTTGTTTTTTTTTTGGGGGGGGGGGAGAGGGGAGAACAACACAGTTCACACAACATTTCCTTAAGGTTCTGAGCTCTGGCAGTCCCAGGGAAGGATTGGCCAAGGTCCCTTCAGCCCAGGATGCGCAGCAGGAATCACAAAATGCTTTGGGTTGGAAGGAACCCTAAAGTTCATCTAGTTCCAACCCCCTTGCCACAGGCAAGGACACCTCTCACTAGACTGGACTGCCCAGGACTCTCTCCAACCTGGCCCTGAACACTTCCAGGGATGGAAGCTCCAGGAGAAACAAGTCTCCATGTCACCAGACACAGGTCCCCTCACAGAACCCAGCACCCCATGGGCCAGGGCTCTGTCAGCTTGGTGCCACCGTGCTGTGACTCACGGGCAGGGGTGTCTTGCACAATACAACTGATTACAGCAAATTACAGCTTTACATATCATGGAAAACCAAACTTGGAGCCAGTGGACCTTAAAATGCCACGGAGGAGCAACGCCACAGATGGCAGCCAGTGAGCAGCTCAGGCATCCCCCACAGCCCTGATAATCCCCCCTTCCCATGGTGAGACGAGTGGGATGGCAGGAGGGGGCAGAGGGGATGGGCTGATGATTTATTTCCCCCCCTCTCTCCTGCTCCAGCAAATGTTTTCACTCGCATTAGCATCGCTAAAGCCGGGAGGATCCTGTGGCTTTATGGCACCAACATCTGCTGTAATGAACTCCTCACAGACTCCATACAGCCCCTTCCACCCTCACCTCCCAGCCTTCCTGCTGCCTNAGGAGGGGGCAGAGGGGATGGGCTGATGATTTATTTCCCCCCCTCTCTCCTGCTCCAGCAAATGTTTTCACTCGCATTAGCATCGCTAAAGCCGGCAGGAACCTGTGGCTTTATGGCACCAACATCTGCTGTAATGAACTCCTCACAGACTCCATACAGCCCCTTCCACCCTCACCTCCCAGCCTTCCTGCTGCCTTCCTGGCACCCGCCTGCCAGCCTGGCTTGGCCCAGCAAAGCCCAGCTCAGGACTCTCCCGATAACCTAGGAGGCTGGCAGGATGATCCTCCGGCCCCAAACACACTGGGAGGGAGAGAGCTGTGGGGCTGAGGATTTAAAAGTGCTGCCACTGCTAGAAATGGAAGGAAAACCAAGCTCCTTGAAGCATCTTGGCTCGCTTAACTGACCCAAAATACAGATCTGTTTTTTAGATATTTTTATATATATTATTCCTGTACAGCTAGGACAGGGATGGAAAGGGAACCAGCATGCACAGCATCAAAGGGACTCATGGGATATACAAAGCAGGGAGATAAAGGACACAGATGGACTCTCCAAGCTCCTTACAGGGTCAGCAGCCGTGTGCTTGTGCTTTCTAAACAGAGAAAATGCAAGCTGGATTTCTCCTCTACCCCCCCCAACTACCACTTCCAAGAGATTCTGCCCTCTTTAAATCAGTGTTTTCCCATTTCTCTCCTTTTTTGTTGTTGTTGTTTTGGTATTTCACCCTGCTGCTATCATACACAGAGAGCACCCACTTCTAGGAGAGAGAAGGCTCCATAACCAATCAGCTACAGGAGAAGGAGACAAAACAAAAAAACCAGAGCAGATCCTTCCACATACTACTGTCCTTAAGCCTCCACTTCCAAAGGGCAGGATTGGATGAGCAACAGGTCTTGGAGCAGCTCTGCCCTGGCCATCTGCTCCCGACAGCAGCAGCAGGCAGGCAGCCTCCTGCCACCACTGTCCTCACAGCTCGCAGTGATGCTGATATCCCTTCCTCCCTGGGTGTTTTCCCACTGGTGATAGAGCAGAAGGATGGAAGGACAGTCCTTCACCAGGATGGCAGTGCCACACTGTCTGCAAACCCCTTTGTCAGCTAAGTGCCCCCCTCCAGCATCACCCTCGGGGTTTCAGCCACCCTTCTGCAGCCTCCATGCAGCCTTCGAGGAAAGACCCTCACCTCAAGCAAGCTCCAAATCCTCACACAGTTTTCTCCTATCCAGAGGTGCACACAGAGGAGCAGGAGGAAGCCTGGCAGGTAAAGCCCCAGGCTCAGGATGGGGGGATGTGCTGGGAACTGGGGTTCCCCCAGCAGCAGTCCAGGGGATGGATGAGTGGACCAGCTGCTTCTGGGCTTCAAACCCACACCCAAAACAACACTTCTCCCCCTGCATTGCAAAACCCAACACAAACAGTGTGTACGTTCTCTGTTATCAAAAGAGAAAATTGTTTTCTAGGTGATGGCTCTCCCTCCCTCCTTAAAACCAGGCAAGGATGGGGAAGGGAGCGGATGATCACCGGGTCTTGGCTGCCTCCTCTGCATCATCACATGCCACCTCTACACAACACTCCTGGAGAAACACTAATTATAGCTCTACAGCTAAAAACTTTATTATACGCAGACATACATATGCCAGATTACCAGCGTGCCTTGAGAGAGCTCCCCAGGCTCAAACTGAGCCGGGTGGGTCAGGTTTAACTTGTTTGGTTTTTTTTTTCTTCATTCCCTCCCTCCCTCCTGCCCAGTTTTATTTCAACCCCTGCGTGAACTCGGTGCACACAAAAATAAAGAGGACGGAGCCAGGCACAGGGGTCCTGCACTACCAACCCAGTGACATCCCACCCTCCCCTCGGCATCCCCACTGCTTGGTCACAGCTAAACCCTGTCCCACAGCAGCCTGGCTAATCCAGCCCTCCCAAACCCATCCCCAGCATCCCACGCCATGTCGAGCCTCCGGGCCCCTCACTGCCCATCCCTACACCACGGCACCGCTCCCAGCCAAGCAGGACACCAGTTGCCAGCCCTCAAACCTCTCCCTTCCCAACGAGGGAGAGTTTCTCCTGGCTGGAAGATGCCGCTGCAGGAACGTCCAGGCCACTGAATAAGTCATTCCTGTTTCCCATTCGCCCAAACACACTGGATCTTTGTGTGGCGGAGGCGGAAAAAATATTAATCTAATTAAAATCCCTCCCTAAAATTCCTCGTCACCTTAATTATGCTTCAGAAAAGAAGGCTTGGTTCATTTTCCTAGAAAATCAGCTTGTCAGGAGACGCTTTCAACTCCTAACAAGACCGATCTGTGCTTTGCAACGTGTCCTCAAACCCTCGCCAGAAGCTGCGGGGAGCGAGAGATCCCGAATTCCCACGGGGATGACTACCCTGCCCATCACGGTTATGGTCTCTTCCAACCTCTAAAAGCCATCAAACTTTATGGGGCTCCACTTCTGAGCTCTACACTCGAGCACCTTTTTACACCTGGAGAATAAACACCCGGCAAAGGAGGATGACAAAGGACAGAGTCCTCAGTCCGAGATGCTAAGGATGTTCGGGAGTTGTGGAGTGGGTGTGGGGGAAAAAACACAGCTGAAAGGCTGAATTTGATCACAGGAGTCCTAACGAGAGAGGGCAGCAGGAGAGAGGTGCCTCTGTTTCTTGTCTGTGGCAGGGATTACTGACGGAAGGGCTGGATTTAAGTGCATCTCAATCACAAGATTGCGTTGCGCACAGGAAACTTTGAAGAGCCGTAGGAAAAGACCACTTGGCTGCCTGGCCATCAGTGGCTCGGGTTATGAAAAAGCAGATTTATAAAAAAAAAATAGATTAAAAATAAAATCCAGGCTAAATAATCACTTCTTTGACACGCCGGGGAATCGCAGCTGGCGATACTACAAAAACAGGGCTGGGTTTGTTTTGCTTTTGCCAAGAAAAATAAATATATATATATATATATACAGAGAGAGAGAAATACAAGGAAGCGGCACGGCGAGGCGGGCAGGGAGCGGCGCTGGTAGCTCACATCCCCACAGAGCATCCCCCCCGGAGCGGAGAGCGCTGCCAGCCCGTTTCCCCACGGAGCATCTCCCCCGGACTGGAGAACGCTGCCAGCCCGTATCCCCGCGGAGCATCCCCCCCGGAGCGCAGAGCGTTGCCAGCTCCCACCCACCCGGAGCACCATCCGCCCCGGCCCGGAGCATCCTCCGAGCGCGGAGGGCGCTGCCAGCCCGCATCCCCCGCGAGCATCCCCCCCAAACGGCGCGGAGGGAGAGTCTCCCCTCCCGCCAACCCCTCAACCTTTATCTTAAAGGAAAACCAAAACAAACACGAACTCGGCGTCACAAGGCTGAACACCACAACCGGCAGTGAACTTTTCTGGGGGGGACGCTGCCCACCCTTCAGCCTCCCGCACAGCCCCTCCAAACTTGTGCCCCCCTTACCTGCGGCGGCCAGCGCCCGGCGGAGCAGCAGCGGGAGGAGGAGGAGGGTGATGCGGAGGGCGGGCGGCGGCATGGCGGCGGGACTGGGATCGGGATGGGATGGGATCGGGACGGGAGCGGAGCGCTGCCCGCCCGCCTCGCCACTGCCGGGCTGCCCGGCACGGGGGGCGGGGCCTGGGGCGGGGCCTGGGGGCGGGGCCTGGGGCCCTCCATCCCTGCGATGAGCTGCGACCGGGCTCAGCCTCCCTCTCTCCCTCCCCCGGTACCTCCAACCCACCCCGTCCCGGGATACGGGGATGGAGCCAGACCGGGAAAGCGGCTGCGGGGCCGGGCTGGGGAACCCGCGTTAACCCACGGAGCGGTGGGTCCCGCTCTGCAGTGGGGCCGAGCGGGCACAAGGGGGAGCCCCGCAACGCGCTCGGCGCCGAGTCCCCCCCCTTCCCCCGCCGCGTCCTCCTCCCCCTGCAAAAATACTTTGCACGAGTGAAGCGGCGCGTCCTGCTGCGATGTGAGTGCCGTGGGGTGGCGGAATGGACGCTTATCATGGAATCATGGAATGCTTTGGGTTGGAAGGGACCTGAAAGTCCATCTCGTTCCACCCCCCTGCCACGGGCAGGGACACCTTCCACTAGACCAGCACAGAGCCCGTCCAGCCTGGCAGCCTTGAACACTTCCAGGGATGTGGCGTCCACAGCTACGCTGGGCAACCTGTGCCTGGGCCTCACCGTCCTCACAGGGAAGATTTTCTTCCCAATATCTAAGCCAAACCTCCTCTCTAGCCGTGTGAAGGCATTCCCCCCTTGTTCTGTCCATACTCTTGTAAAAAGTCTCTCTCCATCTTTCTTGTAAGCTCCCTTCAGGTACTCTTATACCCCTCCCCTCCCAAGAGTGGGCATTAAAATCCAGGCTGCAGGATGTACCCACAGGAGCATAAAGATAACATATGCACACACACACAAATAATTAAAAGTAAAATTCCTACACTGAGGGAGGTATCCTGCAACTGCTCCTCGATACGTGGCCTTTTGGTACTTAAAGGGGGCTTATAAAAAAGATGGAGAGTGACTTTTTACTGGGGCAGGTAGTGATAGAACAAGGGGGAATGTTTTTAAACTGAAAGAGGAGAGATTTAGGTTAGATGTTAGGAGGAATTTCTTGCCTGTGAGGGTGGTGAGGCCGTGGCACAGGTTGCCCAGAGAAGCTGTGGCTGCCCCATCTTTGGAAGTGTTGAAGGCCGGGTTATACAGGGCTTGGAGCAATCTGGGATAGTGGAAGGTGTCCCTGCCTATGGCAGGGGATTGGATCTAAATGATCTGAGGTCTCTTCCAACCCAAACCATTTTGTGATTCCATGATATCCATACATCTCCCTTCTTGTAAAGAATTGTAAACAAACTTACAGGTTTGTAAACCTTTTGGGGCTGCAGTTTTCCACCTGGCGAGTCCCTCCTCAAGCTGGGTTTAAACCCAACCCTGGCCCCTTGCTCAGTGGAGGGGGGCAAAAGGACTCAGCAAGCTCTTTTTGGGGGAGAGAACCCCAAATTCAGCAAAGTCACACGACGCTAGAGCAGTGCTGCAGCGGCATCTGTGCAAGCAGGGCTGTGCAGTGCTGAGTGACAGCAAGATCCACTCTTTCCCACTAAGGAAGGGGCTGCCATGGCTGCCTATAAATGGTTAAAATAGCATGGGAACTGCTAACTACTTTTAATTGCTGGCAGCTGCTCAGCTCCTCGGGGTAGGGCAGTGGGGGCGAAGGAGCCCTGGCAGGCAGGCGGTAATTACAGCCTGTGCCGCCGCCAGCCCGGTGGAACCGGGGCCGTGGGTTTGGCGCCGGGGCTCTCCAGGCTCCACGAGCTGCTCCAGACGCGGGTTTGCTCCCAGGGCTGAGCCTGGTCGTCGCCTTCGCAGGGGCAGCGTGAATCCCGACGGGATGGAGCAGCAGTGGTATTGGGGTGTTGCGTGCAAACCATCACTCCAAAAATGAAAATCCACCTTTTGGGAACCTTCCAGAGCCATCACGAGCTTTTCCTGCTGCCCAGGTGCCACCTTCACCCTCAGCCAGTCCCATGGGTGCCCCAGCCAGACCCCAAAAAACAGGAGGAACTCGTGGCACGTCGCTTGGGCCACCTGCACTTCGTGGCCATGCAGCTGCCTGGAGTGCCACCCCGAGCATCTCACACCCGGCTGCACTTGAGCCGGTATTTACAGAGCACTGGGACGTGCCGGAAAAGGCTGAAGAGCGGGGGAAAAAAGAAAATCTCATTTCCAATTGCTGTCGAGGGAGTGAAGCTGTAAGGGAAGCGCCCGGCTGGGCAGCGAGGGGGAGGGATGCACCTGATGCAAACCCAGCAGTGCTGGCGTTGGAGAGAGGCTGAGACTGACAGCTTTGGGAAAATAAACTGGGAAAGAAAGGTATTTTCCAGCCAGAGTGGACATTTGGAGTGCCTACTTTGGGAAGGAGAGTGTGCCTTCTGTGCCTTTTTTCTGTAGAAATGAGGGAGCGCGAGTGGGTTAAACTGAGTGGTGTTGTCATTGCCCGGTATTCAAAATATGAATTAAAGCAATGCAAATTAAGGGCTCACTTACCCCTATTGCACAATTTGAGAAAAATATGACACTACAAACTATCATTAAGGCAAAGGGCCGTTTTTCCTCCCAGGTGTTTACATATTACCCCTGGTTTTCCCACTAATGGCCCGGCGTGAACGCGTCAATCAAATTCCCAGCATAGAGGGAATCAGCTCCCAGCAGCTGATCCGAGGTGTGAGGAGCTGCACTGGGCTCAGCTGCCCTGGCAGGGTCATCAGCCCCAGAAGGACAGGGATGGATGAAGCCAACGGGAAGCTGTTGGCATGTGGGAAAGGGTGGGTTGGCATTCTGCAGCAGGCACAGGGAGGGACTGCTCCCACTCAGGGATGCAACAGGACCGGCAGCCCAAATCCCACCGGTGGGTGACACACGTGACACCTGAGCAAGGGCCCTCTGACCTCTCTGGGTTGGATATTCGGGTCTCTGGCATAACCAGGAAGGGGGGTGGATGCATTAAAGCGTTAAAAACTATGGCAATCAGATGAATAATAAACAGAGGAAACTCCCAGAGCATAATCAGGAGGTGAGACAAAGACTCGCTTGTTCGGGATTTGAGGTCATGGCGCCCTTCAGCTCTGACCACACCGTCACGGGAGGGGTGGGTTTATCTTCCCACCCAAACTTTAGAGGCAGAGCAGGCCTTAGGTGGGCTAAAACATCCCCTATTAGTTCCTTTTCCTTTTAGACCTTGCTCCTCACTAAACACCTCAGTGATCTGGGATGAGGCTGGGCTTGGCGGCACCGAGATATCAAGACATCTTTATGGTACAAAAAAATTTCTATTAGGGGCAAAATATGATTTTTATCTATTTTGTTTAAAGAGCATTCTCTTTTAAGCCCCCAGATGTTATTTGCAGCTGTGGTTGGCCAGAAGGGCCGCAGGCAGCTAACCAGGGGGCTAGCCAGAGGTGCTTATCTATTTGGGGGTTCAGAGGCCTTCGAGGCAATTTGCATAACATTATCCACAGGTGTGCTATCAGGACAACCAATCCCACCAACCTGATTAGGCATTAGGAAGAAGAGACTGTCTGAAGACCTGCACACGGGAGAAGAAGAGGGGATATAGAGCAAAGCTACAGATAACGTGGGGTCAAGGCACTGGGAAGGGCTTCCCCAGCATGCAAAAGCCTTAGACAGAGTTTTGTTTCCCCTGGGATGCTGCAGCCGATGCCCTGGCTTCTCCTCCTCACTGGCTCACCCTACCACATCTCCTTTCACTCCACGAATAGCTGCCTCCCTCCTCTGGGAATCCAGCTGGGCTGAAATGCCCCTGCTTTTTATAAAGAGGGAATTTTAGAGGGAGCTTGTTGTTACCGATGGAGCCCTGGCACAAAGTAAACACTGGGTTAGCAGTGATTCATTTTATCTTTTCCCCTACTACTGACAGTCTTCTCACCTGGGAGCTTTGGGAGCACTGAAGGAGGCTGTGGAAATCCCTGCTGACAGACTTGCTGCAAGGATGCTGTCACTGCTACCAAAAAGTCCTGGACGCTGCCTGGAAAGGACAGGGAATTTGTTCCTCTCCATAATACAGGGAGAGTTGGGGCAGAAAAAGGGTTGGAGGAGGAGAGGGCAGGTGTTCCTGCAAAACAGGTGGGCCAGGGTATTTTGCTGGGTAGGTTTTTGCTGGTGTCACCAGGATGGAGTCAGAGCGTCCTCTTGGTTCACCATGGGCCAGCTTCCCTGGGCAGGTAGTGACAGGACAAGGGGGAACTGTTTGAAAGTAAAAGAGAGGAGAGGTTTAGATCAGAAATTGTTCCCTGTGAGGGTGGTGAGGCCCCGGCACAGGTTTCCCAGACAAGCTGTGGGTGCCCCATCCCTGCAAGTGTTCAAGGCCAGGTTGTACAGGGCTCTGAGCAACCTGGGATAGTGGAAGGTGTCCCTGCCCAGGGAATGAGATGATCTTTAAGGTCCCTTTGAACCCAAACCATTCCATGTTTCTATGATTCCCTGTAATTTTCTCCCATGCTTTCTGAGGGAGAAACACCCGGCACACTCCCTTCCTCCCCCCACTCCATGGGCTCTCTCATCCCACACTGGGGTCCTCAAGTTACCCCTTTAACCTTGGAGCAGGGAGGTGAAGGCAAGGGGCTGTCCTGTCCCTCACCTCCAAACAGGGATGCTGTGCACTGCACATTCCACACTCGGGCTGGCAGGGGCTCCCGAGGGAGCTGAGCAAGATGCAGGAGAAGATGCAGCATCTTCACGGAAGCTGAGGATGGAGAAGGCCCCCTTGACTAGCAGGACATTACGCATATCCAGGGAGACACCGCTGTCAGGGAGATAACTGGAGAGGGCAGAATACCCCAAGATGAAGACCAAGACCATGAAATACCATTTACATATCCTCCAACCGATGGGATACCTGGTGTGCAGGCCCTGCACCGGACATGGGGAACAAGATGGGATCTCTGAGTCCTGGTTGCCTCCCAAGCCAAATTCATGGGTGAGAGATGGAGAAGAAGAGAGGCAGGATCTCCATGGAGGCACTGGGG